TYMAGCCTACAAATTCATTCCTTGTTGGGAACAACTCAACAAATCAAAGCCAGAAGAGACCGAGTTTTACCAAGGACTGGAGGTGCTGGATCACAACCGTTAATGCCTCGAACTTCAGGTTACTGCTTGACAGGAATTTCTTCAGCTGCAGGATGATTCCACTTTGGTTCTCGCATTTCGTTTTATATTGTGTCAACTCTGCTGATTTTGTCCCATGCACATCCGTGGAGGTCTGTGTCTGTATGCAYGAGTTCTTGGGACTCCGCTGCTTACCCTTGTCAACTGGAAAAAGGGAAGAGGAGAAAAGATTAGTTGTCATTTTTATTGACACTGCACAAAAGCTTGGGTGCACAAAAGCAGCTACTAACTCTTCCTGAAATACTGCAAAGGTCACTTCAGCTGCACTGCAGAGCAAACATCTACTGGCTTGCACGATAACTTCAGAAGCGCAGCGTGAAGCGTTACATATAGCAGCTTGCATGCATTCTTTAGCTCACTTGTCAACACACACTCTGGCATACCCTGCATGCAAGGCTTTCAATTGATAGGGCCAAAAAGGCAAGTTGCTTATCCTAGCGATGTAAGGACCAAGTCTAGTGACTTATTTCTATCCCAGAGCCAGTGACTTTTGCTTGCAACATGATTTCATATTTTCTGCACTCTGGTGCATTACTGAATAGGGAAGTATTCTCCCTRTATTTACTCAACCTTCTTTTCCTTTCCAGTTTGCATTGCAAGAACTCCACTCTCTCCAGCTCAGGTTTGAGTTCTACTAATCACAGGTCTTTAAGCATTCTTTTTTTTTGATGTCAGCAGTTTTTGTCACAAAGATGATACTTTAGAAAACTCTCTAAAATGTATTTCAGGCTTGCCTGGCATAGTCCAATAATTACATAGTTTATGTAACACTCCCAGCTGTGTTGCAACCTCCATCACTTCACAGTACTCAATCATGTCACGTCAGAAGAAACCACATTACATAACCCCACACTTGACTCGTAAACACCACAGAGATACCAGGCTTCTCTGCTGCCTTCGCTTCAGCTGGAGAGCTGCTCACAGATAGGGCTAGTCTCCTTTTTGATCACACAGAGAACAAACACTTTTGTAATAAAAGACTGATGCAATATATAAATATCCCTAGGCAGCTTCATGAAAAACACCTGAGCAGATTACTTAGTAGTTTCAACTTAACAAGATTTCTTCAAGATAAAGTGAAGAAAACAAAGGTAGGATTTGGAGAAAGAAAGATGTGGAAAAAAAACAAATGAATGAATAAGCATTAATCATTTATAAATCCCTTCTCAAGCCCCAAACACCTCGCACGAAGACTGTAAGATTACAGAAATATTCCCAGAAGGTTGAGGTCTAGTCACACAGCTCAATATTAATAATAATAAATGCTTTGATTCTCAGCTCATGTTCATCTGATACATCAGCCATCACATTAGCACATCGGTCTTGCATGGCTTTGCATCGTTTTCAAAGCATTTGAAGTTAAGTTCCCGTTCAAAAAACTGATGTCATCTACACCTCTCATGCTGAGCCAGGTATGAAGAGCATTCTCAAGCCTACTAATTTTCCAAGCAAATCCCTCCCTCCCAATTAGAGGAACATCAGTATTCTGGTTTATAATGTTTGGATGCTCCTGCTTTCTTGGAGATTTCACTACATATCTGTGCAGGAGATGCTGCCTGTTAAGGGCATATTTTCAATTAAAAAGCTACTGTCTCGCCATGTAGTAGCAGAACTGCTCAAGGAAAGCCAACATGGTAACCCAAGATGGAAATCACAGTTTGTATCTGCATAGAAAATTGAGATCAAGTTTGCCTGACAGTTCCAGTTACCTTGTTTTTATCACCTTTTTCATTAATCTGATGACTTCCTCTCTTGCAATGCAGACAGTCCTCTGACTTGGGCCTCTGAGCTGCACCGTTCAGGTTTCAGAGCTATCCTGTTATATTCCCAGCAAACTTGGGGAGGACACTGTCTATTGCCCTGGTCGCCTCCTGAAAATCCTTAAAATTTTAAGGGACACTAATCAAGAAAAGAGGAATAAGACCAGAGGGGGCATTCCGTAGCCTACTGGCTCATTTATTGCTACTCTCACATATTCCACCTCCTCTCTGAATACTCCTCCTCAAGTGCAGAATTAGGGCACTGTTCCTGAGCCCAAGGTGCTCGCTAACTTCAGCGGGGCAGATGCTCATCAATACAGCCATTTCGTTAGCTATGTGAAGAGACTTTGACACCCATCTGTTATGGTCCTTGACAGACTGTGGAAAGCTGCTTTAAACAGTACAAAGGGTCACAGGCAATTTTTGTTCTAAGAAAAATGACATCATGCACTTTCCTAATTAAATTATATTACACATCACACTGATACCACAGCTAACTAAGTAACACAAGACTCCAGATAACCACCCTTTCCAAAGTTCAGCCAGATTTTTTTTTTTTTTTTTTTTTTGCTTGGGGTAATCAAGGTTTCCAGGCTGCCAAATCTTTTCCTAGAAGTTAATTCAAACCTACATCCAAGCCAATGCCAGATTCCAGTCTAAAGGGTAATCAAGGTTTCCAGGCTGCCAAATCTTTTCCTAGAAGTTAATTCAAACCTACATCCAAGCCAATGCCAGATTCCAGTCTAAATAAAGCTCAAGAAAAAGATACGCACAGAGGGAACCCTCTTCTCCAGACAGTTTTATCACAGGCTCACACCATACCCAGCCACCTCAGGCACTCCAAAGCTCTGCTCTTTTCCAAGCACTGCAGGACCCCGCTGCAGCACCCACTGCTTTGCACATTCACCCCAGCCACACTGCTGGGCCTGTTGACCACCCTGGGCAACAGCAGATGATGCTTCCAGATTCRTACAGGAGACACGCTAGGATGTCCAAACAAGAACCTGGCTTTTGTTAAGGCAGAGGAATTAACTTCCGATATAGCACTTAGATGATGGACTCTAAAGACCATCAATTAGGCAAAGCAGGAGCTTGGATATTTTTAAAGCTTGCCACGTTTATGCAGCCAGCCTTGTAAAGCACAATTTCCTCAGGCTAGAGATCTAAGTACTGCACTGCAGTAACCCAACAGAATCACCATATAAAGCGGGTTTTTTTCCTACTGATACAAGGAAGGATAAATAAATAATAGTAACTCAGTAATGACTGAGCCTTTTGAGCACTAAGCCACTGCCGGAAGGTTTGATGTTTTACTGGCAAAAACAGTATCCCGTGACCTTGGAAAAGGGCAAGAACTGCTTCCTCTGTCTCCGAGATCACCATGCCCATGGCAGCTGCCATAAAACAAAATCTTGTTTTTTAGATGTTGTATCACACCCATCCCAAGGTTTTCTGTGAAGGGAATCACTTCACCTACAGTTTCTCTACTTAATAAATGCAGAGAAGAAAACAGAGCTCTAGTGATATAGGGCACATTCCAGCCCATTTTAAGCACTTGGACACTTGCATTGGTACCTCCCTGGCCGGCTGTCCGAGCTCRCCTGCTCCTGGGCACCAGGGAGACCAGGGGAAGGGCCCATCACCTTATGCTGATTTGCAAAACCAGAGCAACATCTTGATTTGCTCACCATGCAAGAGCAAGTTCTGCAAAGCTGTAATTCCTAATAAACGCAGACAATTCTATTAGTCAAAGATTAAATTTATGTTTCTTGAAAACACTCCATACAGCCTAAACAAAACACTTGAAGCACAAGGAGGAACAATCTCATCTCATCAGAAAACCAACCCCCAGTTTTGCAGGCACCATTATCTTACCCCTAAGCACCTTCTTTTCATGTTCCTCATCCAAACCGTTCTCAGAGAAGATTTCTTGATCAACATTTTCTCTCGCAGGAAGCTGTAGGCTGGTAAAAACTTTCCGACTCTCTTCCATTTTATGGAAAACCTTGTCTACACACGTCAAATTGGTGCTCGCTTCTTTAATCAGCAAGAAGAGATCAGCCTGGGTGTTTAACCGAGCTTCCATCTCTTCCCTCATTCGCTGGATTTCCTCAAGCACCGCTCTTACATGCAGGTGACCGGCCATCATCTCTGCTTTCAGCTCTTCCCTCAGCTGCTGCTGGCTCCTCTGCATGGCCAGCACTGCCCTGATCTCCTCCTGCGACGCTTCCACGTGGCGCCTCAGGTCCTGCTGCCCRGCCTGCATGGCCACCTGCCTCGCATGGACGTCGGCCAACAGCGTCRCCAGGCTCTCCATGCCGGCCCCGCCGGAGCCGCCTCTCCTGGCCTCACAGCTTCCAAGCAGCCATGGGTGCTGGCGAGCAAAGAGATTCCCAGGACAGCCGAGCTAGCAYGGAGCTGGGGCTTTGGGATCCCACCTCGGCCCGCAGGATGCTTCAGTCACCGTGCTAGGTAAGATGAAGGTACTAAATAAATACCTTAAAGTAAGGTATGAAATCAAGTACGTTAAGCAGGGCTGCAGAGCCCCATGTGAGGCTCAGCCAGAGCCCTAGTCAGGTTAATTGCCAGATTGGGCCACACCTGCATTTTTAGAAATCTTTTGCTGACATCACTGCCTGTGGGATGTCACCCAGCCAGCCACTCCCAGACATCTGATCCGCATCAGTCCAGGATGCCCGGCCATCAGTAACCATGTTTGCTGCAAAACAGCCTGCAAGAAGGGAGCAGCCCTTCCTTTCCAACACAAAGGCTCTGAGGGATCCAAATCGTCTGCAGGAGCCAAGAGTCAAACAGTTCAGCATTACTTACTCCAATTGTATATTCAGAGAGCTGGTTCTGCACCACCCTTTCCTGATGTGTGCCAGAGTTCCGGAGGAAATCCAAATGAATGAGTATATACTTGGCTGGTCTTCACTGCCCTCCTCATGAAAGCAGCTCTTGGTGTCCATTTAGCCATGTCCGAAAGAAGCCAGGCCGCAGGGATGCCCTGCAGCTCCTTGATGATGCACAGTTATCCCAGCACCAGAGCAGGACTCGTCRGTGAGATGCTTTGGGTACATTTAGAAGTCTCTTCTAGCTACCAGATCTGGCTTAACATTTTTTTTCATAGAAGCAAAGGTTTCACCCTTGTAAGTACTAAGCAAGCAGACTTCATGACAGTTGATAGAGACTCCATGTAAAAGCATACGCAGGGAGGCAGGACACCAGGCTACTGCTTGTTCTCTAACACACCAATTTACTTATTAAGGAACTGACTTCAGATTGGGGAAGAGTGGAGAAGAGTCTCCACCTGCAGAACACATCCCCTAGCCCTGCATTTATACAGACAGATCGACACTGAAGCCCTGAGTAATGTTCACAGTA